TCTCACAGCCCTAGTAACACATGGGGGCCACAAAGAGAAAAGGAGCAAAGTTAGATTTGCCTGACCTCCCGCACAGCAGGATGGAGAGGGGCAGGACTCACTCCTGAACCAAGAGCCTCAAGCCAGCCGAGGGCACTCCCCCGCCCCCTCCCCGGCCCTCAGCTCTCTCACAGCTTCCTGACTCCCCCATCAAAGCATGCACCACCATCTGAAACAACAGCTTTTATCCAATGGCAGTGTCCATCTCCTCTACAGGGATGCAGCCTGAGTTTGCTCCCCAAGCACAGTTCAGTGCTAGCCACGTAGTCAGTGCTCAATAAGTGCTTGTTGAGTGGCTGTGTGACCCCAAGGCTCTAGGGAAGGCTTCAGAGAGGCAGTGACATGGGAACTAAATCCAGGCAGAGGAGAGAGAGCAGCAAGTGCAAAGGCCAGTTTGGGACCGAGTCTGGTGGGTGCTACCATCCTATGGGCTGGCACTACCCTTGGGAGGCTCACCAAGCTCCCCTGGGACCCAGACAGGTGAACAAGGAAGAGCAAACAGAGGCACAGGACCCCCACTTGGCTGGGCCTTGAGAGCCCCCGGTCAGTCCTCAGGCCCAGCCCAGGCATCTCGGCTTCCCCCTCACTGTGGGCACAGACCCCGACAGGCGGCTCTCCGCAGCCCCGTCCCGGCACCCAGGTGTGGCGGAACCCAGCCACTGGTCCTCCAAGGCTCCCCTGCCCCTGGTCTCCCCGCCCACTCCCCAGGGGCTTTGGGCCACACTGTCCTCTCATTTTGGGCCCTCCAGACCTCCCCAGCCTGATGGAGGGCACGGAAGGCCTGCCCACATCCACGAGTCTATCTGGAGCTGCCCCCGACAGTCTTTAACAGGGGTCCGGGGATGGGCATGGTCCCAGACCCTGCGGGACAGGGACACAGGCAGGCGCCTGGCCTCTGCGTGCCCGGCACGCACATCTGAGCTGCCACGCAAATCCTCTCTCCCCTCAAGGCAGTTGTAGGGCAAGTTCTCATGGCTGCTCAGCTAGGAATTTCTGAGCGTGGAAATCACTTCCAGAATCTTCCAACCTCTGCATATCTGTCATACCCAAATCCACCCTGCACCGGCCGGATCACTCTGAAAATCGTGAGAGCAACCAGGAGACACGACTCCTGCCTGCGGCAAGGTCAAGGGTTACAATGAGTCTGACCTCAGCTGTGGCACTGACGGCAGGGGGGTGTGGCCAGGGAAATTTTGCTTCCAGCTGTGGAGACAGTCCTTCCCGCCACGGGGCTTCCTCCCCATTAGCAGCATCAGGAGGAAAGACTGTTGGTAAAACTCTTCCCCTGGACACCCTTTTTAACAGCCAGATTTCTCACACAAAAGGTAAAAGACAAAAAAACATGGCTTTTCAGACAGAAAAGCCTCTCGGGTCCTACTGAGGTAAGGTGTCGGAGACCAGGATGTAGGAGAAGGTAGATCTGGGCGAGGGCTCCAGATCGACGACTCTGAAGCCATTTGTCATGAGTCTCAGTTTCTTCCTCTGTGAAATGGGGCTGGGAATTCCTGCCTCTAGGGACAGTGGGAAGACTGAATGAGACGGTCTCTGAGAAGGCCCAGCACGGCGAACAGTTTATTATAGTCACTGCATGTCTGTCTCCACAGAGAGCGGAGACGCGACGACAAAAGCACTCTGTGGGGTGAAAGGCAGCCTCAATCCAAATCCTGGCTCTGCCTCCTGCTGCTGTGTGACCCGAGAGGACTCGCTCTACCCCTCTGGGCCTCACCTGCAGAATGGGATTACTTACAACGGCCTTACAGCCTGGCCCTGTGCCACTGAGGAGGTGCTCGGGAATGTCACTTACAGCTCACTGAGCACATAGACACCCCTCCCCCTGCCCATCCCAAGACACACTGGTGACGTGGGGTGACTCTGTGGGGCCTGTGCCAGTCCTGTGTGCCAAGGGAGCTCTCTCAGGGGCTCACACGAGGGCCTCTGCTGGACACGGATGGAACCTGAGGGACTTGTCTGCACGTTAAGAGAATGCTTTGTATGTGGGGCCAGCCAAAGGCCACTGAGGGGTTGATGTCCCCTGTGAGGCACGTGGCCCTAGCCTGTGACTGGCAGCCTCTGCTTTATTTCAGTCCAGTGTGGTTCTCCATTTGTTCGGCTGATGGCTGCTGTCGGCCCTGGGACCACAAGCCCACCCAAGCAGGCCCCAGCAAGGAGGAAGCTGTCTTTGTGTCAGACAGGAGACAGCACTGTCCCCCCAGGTTCAAATGAGGAGACTGTGTGAAGGGAATACTCACAGAACTGGGGGCTTGGCTAAGGGGACAGGGATACTGCAGCACATGGGGGAGCAGTAACACTGAGAGCCGTTACTGCCCAGGGCCAAAGGCACAGGGGAGAGAAGGTGGTTTCCAGAACCCAGCGAGGGGCAGAGCCATGGAGGGGCTGCCTGGTAGGGGCTGTCATCCTGGACGCAGGCAGCCACAGCAAAGAATATGAACCAGCACAGAAAGCCACAGGGAGAAACACCCCTGCTCCCTCCTCCCACCCTCAGAGCTCCTGCCAAGCCCCTATTGGCCAAACAGCAGGAATCAGGAAGCCCCGGGGTCAGCACCCGTCCCCCACCCCCCCAACACACACACAGAGCATAGGTCAGAGGAGGTGGAGAGGGTGCGGACAGGAGGGTGTGGATTTGGCCAGTGGTGGCCTGCAAATCCCCCAACTAAGTGGCTGCATATGAAGGAATAAAAAGGGCGAGTGCTCGGTGTAACAGACCCCGAGCGTGAGCAAGGAGGATTCATATGTGTAAGGTTCCACTTTTAGCTACTGCTTATTGGCCATGTAGCAAATATTTTCTAATTCAGCCTGAAAACAGCCCTGAGAGGTAGATGCTAGTGTCCCCACTGTACAGATGATGAAACTGAAGCTCAGTGAACAAAGTGTCTTGAGCCCAGTCACTCAGGGACAGGCTGCAGTCAGAGCCGTGACCCTGCACTGAGTAAGCCCAAAGAGGGAAGATCCATACGTGACCCGTGGCCAGGCCTTGGGGAGTGGGAAAGACGTCAGTGGGGCAAGATGCAAAGATCTCCGGGAAGGAGAGGAAGCTGTGGGGCCTGGACATCAACCTTGCGACAGCCCCAAGCTGTGCTGCAGTGGACGATACCCAAAGGCACGCAGGGCTGCGGGTCGGGGCGGGCGGGGGGGAGAGCTGTCAGGGCTCACTGCTCCTCTCTAGCGACCTGCTCCCCTTGCTGTTCCAGCCTTGCAGATTAAGCGCCATCCACACAGCAGCCCTCTGCACGCTGCTCCAGCCCTGCTTCCTCCCCCAGCCTTCCAGGCTGGTCTCCAGCAGGGGCTGGCCATTGCCACAGCGACGTTTAATAGGCAACTCCAGCCTGACACAGGCCACACAGACCTTTCGGTTTCCTCCCCTCCAAACATGTCACCCCCCCACCCCCGGCCTGTCTTCGGAATCTCAATAAAGGTCCTGCTGTCCCCCCAACTGCTCAGGCCAAAGCCTGGGTGTTTCCTTGATACCTTTCCATCCTGCGCCCCCTACAGCCCCTGCCCCAGCAAAGCCTGCTAACTCTACCTGAAACACACATCAGTGGCCGTCCCCTCCTCACTCTCTCACCTGGATGACAGGGGCTGCCGCCCGGATCCCCCCTCACCCGGTCAGTCCCCTCCCCACAGCCAACTGCACAACCCGAGTGCATTAGCTTTCTATGGCTGCTATAAGGAACCACCCGAAACGCGGCAGCTTAAGACCACCCTGATTTACTGGTCTGTTATCTTACAGCCTGGAGGTCAGAGGTCTGAAAGGGGTTTCAGGGGGCGACCGTCGGGGCTGCCTTCCTTCCGGAGGCTCTGGGGGAGAATCCATCCCCTAGCCTGGTCCTTGGCCTGTGGTCCCACAGCATTCCAACCTCCGTTTCTGCTCTTCTGTTGTCTGTCTCCTTTTTCCAGATTCTTTCCCACCCTACCCCCTACCTTCATTCTTCCCACACAATCCAGGATAATCTCTCTATCTCAAGATCCTTAATCTTATCTGCTAAAATTAGCCCTTCTGTCCTGTACGGGTTCCAGGGACAAGAACATGCACATCTTGGGGCGGGGGACAGGGTACAGCCTACAGAATTGACCTGACCCCTCTTCTTGAGCCCCACACTCCCTCACTGTTCATTTCTACCTGACCCAGGGGCCTTCTTTGGTTTTTCAAATACACTAATGACTTCTCTACCTCAGGCCCTTTGCACTTGTTGGTCTTTGCGCTTAGAATTTCCTTCCTTTCCCTGCATTCCTGGGGCTGACACTCAGCTATTGCCCTAAGTGCCGCCTCTCTGAGAGGCCTTCCCTGGCCTCTACCTCCACGCTGGCCAGCTGCCCCCTCTGCCGCGTCTTCTGTTGTAACCCTGGACCACCTCCGGATCGCTAGCTGATGCTTTTTCCCATTTACTTATTTTCTTGGTGTTCCCACTACAGTGTGTGCTCCCCAAGGGTGGGCCCTGTCTATCTTGCTCAGTGCTGTACCCCAGGGGGCCCAGCATACAATGGGTGCTCAGGACCCCTCAAGGCTAGCACCCTGTCCAGTTCAGAGGCCTGAAAATTCTCTCTCCCTTTCTCTCAGTTTTAATTCAGTTTGTTTTACTTTTTCTTTTTTGAGTCATTTCTCTCTTGAGGAAGGAAGAAGAACCAAGATGAGTAGTTCCTTTCTAGGCAAGAAAGGAAATGACCCACCAGGCCTGGGCCCAGAGAGGCTAGGACTGGGGTCATGCGTGCCGCCTCCCCCAAGTGAGGACCAGCTTCCTGTCCAGGGCTCCCAACCTCCCACACCTTTGTTCACTGCCTGCCTCCAGCCTGGAATGGCTGCCCTTTCCAAATCCTACATCAAAGGGGGCTGGGTCTCTTCCAAGTAAACCGCCTGGGTTGTGACTAAGGAATGTGATACGCAAAGCCAGGAGGGCTTCCCCCCAGGCACATGGCACTTGCGTTCTGTAGCCTGCTCTGCCCCACCCCAACCCCAGCAAGCCACTTCCTTATGGGCCAGTGGCAGAGGCCATAAGGTGGGGGCTTTGGATGCTAAGATCAGCAGTCCGAGGCCGGGCTGGCCCAGAGCAGACATCCTCAGCCCTCAGGGAGGCGAGCCTGGCGCCAGTGTCTCAGAGGAAGTTGCTAGAGTTTGGAAATCTCCCGTGCTGTGCAGAGTCCAGCCTCTCCCCTAGGCCGGGGCAGGGGACAGCTGTAGAAGAGGCTTCCTACCCAGCACCCTGCGGGTCTGCATCTCTCCAGGCAGAAGCCCTGGTCCCACTACCACCCACCCACCTTCTTCCCCTGAGCCATCCCGGGGGCCACAGGTCAGTGACACAGGGACCCAGCAGGGGAGGACGGACGGGGTCAGGGCTGTGAGGGCACAGTGACAGCCATGGTCAGAGCCTCCACCTCCTGGGCAGTGGAGCCTCCACCTGGGGCAATGGGGCAATCCCTCCTCCTGGAATTCTGGATGAAGCCGAGCCCCTATCGATGGGCGGCCCCAGGTCCCAGCCCAGGCTATCCAAGGGCTGCCTTCAGGGGCATGCAATCTGGGCAATCGCTGGGACCCTGAGCTTGAAAGGGCCTCGGGCTTGGTATTATGTTCTTCTATCACCATCCTGAAATTCTTAGTAACTTTTGAACATAGGACACCACACTTAAATTTGGCACTAGGCTCTGAAAATAACAAAGCCAGTCTTGTGAGCCCAGGCTCTCGACCTCTCCCGTCTCCCCCTACCCCTTGCTCAGGAGACTGCTGCTAAGCTGATCACGTCCAGTGAATTCTGGAGTGAGGCCTGGCCCTCTTGGTTAAGGTGTCCGGGTTTCCTAAGAGCCTTCTAAGACAGCACCAAAGCAATGCTACCCCAGAGACTCTAAGGCTGGCCAGGGCACAGGTTTACTTAAAGGAGCCTTTAAATCCCACATCATAGCAGCTGCTGGGACAAGAAAGAATAGTAGGTTCCAGTCAAGGTAACAGTAGGTAAACGCAGTACACACATCCTCCCACAACCACATCAAAATTACTACCAAACTCCCGAACAACTATCATTTAGAACCACCTGAAATCTAGCTGAACAGAAGTCCTATAATGGATGCAAAAAAGACACCACATCGAGGCTGGTAGGAGGGGTAGAGAGGCAGAAGGGGCTGGTCCGACGTCCCTGTGGGGCAGTTAAAAATTGAGAGGGATATCTCAGCTACAGAGGTACCCACCGCTGAGCAGCGAGGGGTCTCACCCCCAGACCACGCGCCCCAGCCTAGGGTTCCAAGGCCAGGAAGAGAAGTCCCCCACGACTTCTGGCTGAGAAAACCAGCGGTCACTGTGGCTCAGGGTGACAGAGGGCTGTTGGAGTCCCAGGTACTCCTCTTTTTTTTTTTTTTTTTTAATTGAATTTATTTGGGCGACATTGCTTGATAAAACCATATAGGTTTCAATGGTACAACTCAATAAAACATCGCCTGTGCACCGCATCACGCCCACACCACCCAAAGTCAAGCCTCTTTCCATCCCCGCTTACCCCCCCTTTGCCCCCTTCCACCTCCTCCCGCCCCCCTTTCCCTCTGGTTATCACCATAATGTTGACCATGCCTATCTGTCATATGTATTTTTTTTCTTAATTCCTTCACCTTTTTCATCCAGCCCCCAACCCTCCTCCCCTCTGACAGCTGTCAGCCTGTTCTATGTATCTGTTTTATTCAATTATTTTGTTAATTAGACTCCACATGTAAGTGCAATCATATAGTATTTGTCTTTCCCTGACTGGATTGTTTCACTTAGCATAATAATGTCCAGGTCCACTCATGTTGTGGCAAAAGGTAAGATTTTGTTCTTTTTTTACAGCTGAGCACTATTCCCTTGTGTAAATGTACCGCAGCTTTTTAATCTACTCACTACTAATGGGCACAAGTTGCTTTCATATCTTGGTGATTGTAAAGAATGCTGCAATGAATCTAAGGGTACATATATTCTTTTGAATTAAATGTTTTGGGTTCCTTCGGATAGATTCCCAACCTGCATTCCCGCCAGGAGTACATGAAGGTTCCCTTATCCAGACCTCCTTGGATTCAGTCTATCTGAGCTCTAGTGCTGGGGTAAGCAGCTCGAAAGGCACCAGGGACTTACAAGGAGGAATTGAATTGTCTGGCTTTGGGGCAGGGGTTGAAGGGGCCACTCTCTCCCACACAGGAGTGCTAGTAGAGGCCACTGCTCTTTGCTGAGCCCTCCCCCGTAGAGCAGGCAGGCAGGCACCATAACGGAGTCTCCATAAACCTGGCTAACACTGTTTGCCCTGCCATGGTGATTCCCTGAGACTCCGCCCCACCCAACCTGCAGCAGACCCAAGCCACTCCGAGGGCCGTTTCCTACCGAGGCCTGTCTTGGCTCAAGCTACAGATTTTCCTAAAATCTCTCCGAGGTTCAAAAATCCCAAACAAGGAGCTTCTGGCCTCAGCGCGTCCTACACTTTTTGCAAAGTGGCCCCAGGCACTTCACTAGGGACAGCCAGCCTTGGTTCGTAGCTTGGCTCTCCCAGGCCCAGCACAAGTAGCAGCTATCTGCAGATTGCTCTGTAGCTCATGTCAGGTGGCCCCAGACAGGGCTCAGGTGGTGACTGACATTGGCCAGCACCACCCCAAAGGCCCCAAGCCAGCATTCCAGGTAGACAGCTTCAGGTCATGCTGCAGCGCCACCTAACCACCTTCAGAGCAACACATTCAAGTGGCAAACCCACCGGGGACCAGAGCCCCTCTGAAGAAAATCCTGCTCCACAGGGTGGACCTCTGTAGCAGCGTTTCACTGTAGTCACAGCTAGTCCTTGCAGCTGATTGGCCTTGGGGTAAATCCCTCTCAATGACATGCCAACAGCTATCTAGGCTCAACTACAATGGGGGGAGGGGGGACATACACAACTCACACGGGGGTACACCTGGAGCATCCACTCAGGTGATGAGAGAGGCTATGCCCCTGGGCCCTACTTGACACCTGTTACATAAGGCCACTCTACCAAGACTGGGAGACAGAGCAGCTCTACCTGCTCTACAATTTATTTTGAAAAAATAATGATAGAAAACTTCTCTAACCTGGTGAAGAAAATAGACATACAAGTTCAAGAAGCACAGAGAATCCCAAACAAGATGGATGCAAAGAAGCCCACACCAGGACAACATCATAATTAAAATGCCAAAAGTTAAAGATAAAGAGGGAATCTTAAAAGCAACAAGAGAAAAGCAGTTAGTTACCTACAAGGGAACTCCCATAAGATGTCAGCTGATTTTTCAATATCTTGGCAGGCCAGAAGGGACTGGCACAAAATATTCAAAGTGATGAAAAGCAAGGACCTACAACCAAGAGTATTCTCCCCAGCCAAGGTATCATTTAGAATTGAAGGACAGATAAAGAGCTTTCCAGACAGAAAAAAAGTTGAAGAAGTTCAGTACCACCAAACCAGTATTATAAGAAATATTAAAGGGTCTTCTTTAAAAAGAAAAAAAAAATCAAAAATACAAAAAACCTGCAATAAATTCATATCAACAATTTTATAGATTAAATGCTCCAATCAAAAGACATCCAGTGGCTGAATGGATAACAAAACAAGACCTTACATATGCTGTCTATAAAAGACTCACTTCAAATCAAGACACACACAGACTGAAAGTAAAGGGATGGAAAGCAACATTTCATGAAAACTGAAATAAAAAAAAAAAAAAAACTGTGGTAGCAATACTTATACCAGACAAAATAAATTTTTAAGCAAAGGCTATAACAAGAGACAAAGAAGGACCCAGCAATTCCACTTCTGGGTATTTATTTGAAAAAACCCAAAACACTAAATCTAAAAGACAAAAAAAATAAATAAATAAAAATTAAAAAAATAAAAGACATATACATCCATATACTCTTTGCAGCATTATTTTATTTTTTTTATAAGATTTGATTTATTTTTAGAGAGAGGGGACAGGAGGGAAAAAGGGAGGGAGAAAGACATCGATGTATGAGAGAAACATAAATCAGTTGCCACTCATACGCACCCCAACTGGGCACCTGGCTCACAATCCCATCATGTACACTGACCAGGAATCGATCCAGCGACCCTTCGCTTTGCAAGACAATGCTCAACCAACTGAGCCAGGTAGGTCAGGACAACTGCAGCATTATTGTCAACAGCCAAAATACGGAAGCAGCCTAAGTGTTCATCAATAGAATGAATGGATAAAGAAGAAGTGGTGCATATATACAATGGAATATGACTCAGCAATAAAAAAAAGAATGAAATCTTGCATCTGCAACAACATGGATGAACCTGGAGGGTACTGTGTGAAGTGAAGTCAGACAGGGAAAACAAATGCTATATGATTTCACATATATGTGGAATCTGAAAATAAAATAAACAAACAAGAAAAGAGAAACAGACTCACAGATACAAAGAAGATTTTGACAGTTGCCAGATGGGAGGGTTTTGGTGGGGGGGGACAGGTGAAAAAGGTGACAAGATGAATAAGTGCCAATTGGTAGTTATCGAATAGTGATGAAGATGTAAAGTACAGCATAGCGTATGTAGCTGATAATATTGTAATAACTATGTACAGTTTAGGATGGGTACTAGATTTATCTGGGGTGATCATAAAGTTATGTAAATATCTAATCATCGGGTTGTATACCTGAAACTAATTTAACATTGTACATCGACTTCTAATAAATAAATAAATAAGCAAACAAACAGAGAGCAGAAGGAAAAAGCATGAACTTTTGGCCCTCCCTTGCAGTCTGAATGATCACAGAAATGTTACTAAACTTCTCTGATCCTCAGCTTACCTGTCAGATGAGGATTACAATTATACTCACCTCGAGGGCTACTGGGAGAATTAAATAGGATAACACGGAGCGCTTGAACAGTGTCAGGACAATAACCGGTGAGGGATAAATGTTAGCTGGGTTCCGCTGTCACCACCACTTGCTCCAAGGTGCACTCACTTCTTTGTACGTTGACTTTCTAAGGTATAAAATGAGGATAACTGGGTGCCCACTGCACAGGGCTTCGGGAGCAACCATCAGCATCAGCATCACCTCACCACGCACCCCCACCCCCCACCCCAACCTCCAGGAAACCTTCCTACAGCCCCCTTCTGGGCCTGCCTCTCGCCTGTGCTTGCTTCCACAGTAGCACACGTGACACTTAAATAGGAATTCTTTCTGTGTCTGCCTTCGTCTCCCAGATTTGGAGCTCTCTGGGGCAGGGACAGAGTCTGGTTCTGCTGGTACCAGCAGAGGGTGAAGGATGAAAGAGTGGACAGATGAGGAGAGTTCGGCTGTCCCTGGGAGCTGCTCGCTCACACGGGTAGTAACCAATATGCCCTGATGGTGTCTTCTCTCCTTCCCCAGATCTGTGCCTTCTCAGAAGATGCATTTGCTTCCGATACTACTGGCCACAGTGGGCCCCTGCTTGGGCCTGCTGACAGCAGCTGTCACACGCACTGACCCTGCCCAACTGGATAGTCCTGGCATGCTCTCCACCCACCGGCGCCAGAAGAGAGACTGGATCTGGAACCAGATGCACATTGATGAAGAGAAAAACACCTCACTGCCCCATCACGTGGGCAAGGTAAGGCTCAGGCCCAGAGCAGGAGAGGCCTCGGCAGCAGGTGGCCCGTGGTGGTGGTGGTAACGGTGGTGGCGAGGTGGCGGCGGCGGTAGGGGCGGGGCTGGCCGCGCGAGGGTGATGGTACCGGTGGGAGGATGGACGGGGTGGGGCAGATGCGGTGGTGGTGCTGGCCGAGATGATGGAGGGAAAGGGGATGCCGCGAGGGTGATGCCGTAGTGACGCAGATGGTGATGGCACAGAGGAGGGTCGTGGAAGGGGTGGTTATGAGCGTGGGGTCGTGAGAGCGACGGGCAAGGGGAGGCGGTGGGGGTAATAACGGAGGTGATGAGGAGGGGGGAGGGGGAAGGTGGTGACGGTGGTCAGGGAGGTAACAGTGACTGTGGAGGTGGCGGTGGCGGTGATGGTGAGGACGAAGAGGAAGGTTACAGCGGCGGCGGTGGTAGTAATAACGGTGCTGAGGGTGAGGAAGAGGGAGCTGCTGTTGGCTCTGGTGGCAGAGTGACTGTGTCAGTGACGGTGGTAGTGGTGTTGGAGGTGCGGTGTTAGGGTGTGGCTGTGGCGGAAATGATGGTGAATGTCAGGGTCCGTTTTCTCCCAGATCTTGGTCTGTGGACCAAATACCACCGGTGGAAGGACCACCCCATGCACGGGCTGAAAAGACCAGCCCAAGGCTTAGGGAAGAACCAGCCAAGTCTGCCAAAAAAGTTTCCCACCTGAGAGGTCTAGTAAACCTGAGCAGCCTTCTACAAAATTGTGCTGGTGATAAAGCTAATCATCCAGGCCATGGTTTGCCAACCCTGGTCTAGACCTTTGAACTTCCTCAAAAAAAACCAACTTCCTCTCAGACTATCCCTCCCTAGTTTTCTGTCACCTTACACAACTCCCCAGATTCTAGAACATCCACAAGAAGGCAACTAACACAAGCCTGCCCTCCAGGGCTCCAGCTCCTACTTCCTCCCACTTTAAAACCTGTTCACCCCAGTCACCTTCCTAGAACTTAGAGTGACAACTGAACTGATTTACTGTGTCACAGTGTTATTGATGTCAAAACCAACCATTCTAATGGAAAAGAATGGCTCTGGCAGTGGAATTTCACACACAAGGACAGGTAGATGGACTAGGTATTTTGAGAGTTATCAATGAGGAAAAAAATGTCTTTCACATGCATAAAATCTCACCATGTCAGTTTCTTGGACTCTAAACATGGCTGGCTAAAGAGGAATAATAGATCAATGTACTGATGAGAGGAAATAAAGTGCCAAACACAGTGAGCAAAGATAACATGGTCCCCATCCTTGTGGCACTTGTGGTCTAAAATAGGGGCTGGCAAAACCGGCCCACCACCTGGTTTTGTAAATGAAGTTTTATTGGAACAGAGTCATGCCCATGCACTTACAAATTGTGGTGGCTGCTTTCATACTACATTCGCCTATGTGAGTAGCTGTGATGAAGGCCACAGAGTTGAAAATATTTACTATTTGGCCTTTTATAGAAACAGTTTGCCCACCCTCATCTTAAAGCATAGCACACACTAGACAAAGAGCTCCGCCAACAGCGGTGATGGAGAAGCCCTATGGTTACAGAAAAAGAGACTGGACGGAACCCCCTGATGGAGGAGGGTCCAGTCTGGCCTCGCAACAGAAATGCCACAGCGGCTGGGGAAGCCCACTCGCAGCCCGGCCAAGAGCCAGCTTACTGTGTGCCGGGGCTCCTCTGTCTCCCAAGATTGACTGGGAAGTTTAAATCCCTCAGTGCAGCTACTTACGGGGAAAAGACACTTGCCCAGGACAGAACCCTAGGAGAACGCAGTCCCAGGAAAGCACAGGGTTGCTGACTTCCAGCACGAATAAGAACACTATGTCATAGAGGAAAATGCCATCAACCCACCCACATCCTTCAAAATGGAATAATTATGTCATGAATCAGCCACTGAAGAGAGTGGCTGGACCCAAGGATGAGTCAGGGAGAATCAGCAGAAAACAGAAAACAGAAACACCTGCGTCACACGCAGCCTGACGTGGCAACCTTGAATGGGCTCACCCGAGGGTCTTTGAGCTGAAGGAAGAGCGTCAGGTCTGCTGTAATCGGCCATCAGGGTTCACTAGGTACCTGGCATTGAGCTGGGGGACAGAAGAGCCTCATGCAACCCCTACCCTGAACAGCAGCAAGGCTGCCTGTGAGGGACAAGAGAAGGGTCCCCAGGAGCACCTCTTGGTTCCCAAAGACGTCACCTAAGGGAAGGAAGTCCCTGTTTACTAAGGGCGGAACACGGAGCCTTTGTTTACAGAGCTGGCTGGACAATGGAAGTGAGTCCTGGGCAGTCTTCTAAATCCACAACTAACCGTCATTAAGATGTTATGTCCAAATGTAGTGATAATTTTTATTTGTATTTATTTTTATTTATTTTTTAATAACAGAAAGTTTATTTGCAAAGTCACAGAGGTAGGAAAAGTGAACCAGCTGGGCATGGGCTCAGAAAACAAGTTATAGAGAGAGGCAAAAGAAGGGCCCCTGGAACTTAGGAGAAAGAAAACCAAGCACACTCGAAAACAAGGTTCGAGGGGGCGTGCTCTAGAGACCGAGGGTATGCCCAAAGATAGTGATCACTGTCAGAGAGGAGGGCTCCCCAAAATCCACAACCACAATCTAACCATGAGGAAAATGTCAGACAAACTCCAAGAGAAGGGCATCCTACACCAGAACATCTCCAAACTGTCACGGTCACCAAAAACAATGCAAGTCTGAGAAACTCCCACAGCCCACAAGAGCTTAAAGAAATATGGTAACTAGATGAAATGGGGTGTCCTAGAGGGAATCTGAAAACAGAAAAAGCACATTAAGTAAAAACTAAGAAAAATGTGCATAAGTGATAGACTTTAGTCAATAGTGAGGTACCAATATTGTTCCATTAATTATAACAAAGGCACCAGACAAATGTAAGATGTTGATAATAAAGGAAACTGGGAGCGGGGTATATGACAACTCTCTGTACTATCTTTTTCAACTTTTCTCTACATCTAAAATTTTTTTTAAAAAATAAAGTCTATTTAAGAGAAGTTGGGGGAAGGAAAACAGAAACATGTTCAAATGAAATCTTATGCAGAATTCTAATACAACAGGTCAAAGCTGACTGACGGCCCCTCACTGTTCCTAGCCATGTGGCCCCTAACACACCCACTCGGAGCCAAGCCTGGAATCACCATCTTACCCAAACCCTGAACGACTCGCACAGGCCCCAGGCTGTCCCTCCTGCCGAGTCTCCACTGTCCCTTCAGGCCACAGGTCACAGAGCCTCACTTTTCATCATATGACCAGCCACTGAGCTGCAGGACCTCCTCCTGAACCTACCTGCCTGCCCCTGCACCCCGCAGCCCACAGCCCTGTTCCAGAAAGCTCTACCACCTCTCACTGCTGCCCTGCCTCTCTCCCTCCCTCCCATCTGAGGAGAGTGTCCTCCCTCCCCGTCTCTACTTCCTCACTTGGCAGGCTCTTCTCTGCGCTGTTATCTGGCTTCTCACCCCGCCACCCTCTGGATGCTGCCCGCACCACGGGCTCCAGGGACTGCTAAATCTGAGGGACATTCCCAGACCTCATGCAATTTGGCCACACCTTCCTCGAAGCTCCATTTTCTGTCTGAAATCCACTCTTTCTTGGCCAACAGACATATAAAACAATGCTCAACATCCCTAATCATCAGAGAAATACAAATTAAAACCACAATGAGATATCGTCTCACACCTGTCAGAACGGCTATCCTCAAAAAGACAAGAAATAACAAGTGTTGGGGAGGATGTGGAGAAAAGGAAACCCTTGTGCACTGTTGGTGGGAATGTAAATTAGCACAGCTGCTGTGGAAAAGAGCATGAGGTTCCTCAAAAATTTGAAAATAGAACGACCACACAACCCTGCAATTCCATTTCTAGGTATTTATCCAAAGAAAAATAAAAACACTAATTCAAAAATACACATGCACCCCTATGTTTGCACAGTGTTCTTTACAATCCTCGTAATACAGAAGCAACCTGGGTGTCCATAAACAGACGAATGGATAGAAAAGATGTGAGATACACACACACACACATTTCACTTACATGTGGAATCTAAAAAACACAAACCAGAAAAAAAACCTCAGAGAGAGAACAAACTAATTGCCCTAGGGGAGGCTGATGGGGGATGAATGAAAAGGGTGAAGTGGGATAAAAGATACACACCTCCAGTTATAAGTAAATAATTAAGTCATGAGGATGTAATGTACAGCATAAGGAATACAGTCGATAATATCATAACTTTGTACTGTGACAGATGGTCGCTAGACTTACTGTGGTGATCATATCTTAAAGAACATAAATGTTGACTCACTATGTTGTACACCTAAAACTAATGTAATGTTGTATAACCACTATACTCTAATTGTTAAAAATTGCAGTGTCACATCCCCAATACCACACATGTGCTCAAACATGCATGTGTGCATATACATGTACATACATTTGCACACTCACATGGGTACACACACACACAGCTGCCACTGCCCGTTCCTAGCACAGGGCACCTCTTCTTTCCTAGATTAAATCGAGTGTGAACAGCAAGAACGCCAAGTACCTGCTCAGAGGAGAATCTGTCGGCAAGGTCTTCCGGGTCAATGAGAACACAGGGGACGTGTACGCTTTGGAGAGGCTAGACAGGGAGAAGGTCTCCGAGTACCACCTCACTGCCCTCGTGGTGGACAAGAACACCAACCGAGACCTGGAGTCTCCTTCCAGCTTCACCATCAAAGTTCATGATGTGAATGACAAGTGGCCTGTGTTCACTCACCGGTTTTTCAATGCAAGTGTGCTCGAGATGTCGACTATGGGTAGGTACTCAGTCTGTCCCGCTCCCGTCCCTCTCCCTCCTCTGCAGCCTGAAAGCACCCCCTCCATCAGCAACTTCACTGCCTGGGGCCAGGATCAGTGAGTTCAAGGCAGCAATTGTGACAACCCGAGTCATGGGCTGAGCCCCCGACCCTGATCATGGGCTGGGCCCCGACCCTGATCATGGGCTGGGCCCCGACTCTGGTCATGGGCTGAAGCCTGACCCTGGTGATGGGCTGAGCTTTAACCATCAAGAGATACACACGTGTGACCACGCTTTACAGCACACCCCACCCGCTGCTCTGACTCTCAGGACTAACACAGTAAGAGTGTAAGAGCGTAGCTTTCGCACGTGAATAAATGCCAACTCTGCCACCAGGGCAGTAAGAGTCATCTCTGGGATCCAAGCAGGAGTAGAGGGGGAGGCCTAGAGCCCTCACCCCAAGGTGTGTCTCCAGCCTGGACCACGGGCCACCAGAGGTTACTATTCATCCCTCAGTTCTACCCCAAGCCGCCAGGAGGTGCCAGAAAAGGGTTCCCTTCCCCCACCTTGGTCCAGGGTCCCTGGCCAAGGCCCCGGGACCAGACCTTCCTGTTAAGTATGGGGATCCTGAAGTTCAAGGGGAAAAGAGCTGTGACACCTGCCCCTTTGGGGGCACCCTCCCATTCCCTTGTTTCCTCTCTTCTAGTGGAGGAAAGAAGCAACCCCCTCACTCTCCTAGGTCTCTCCTCATGACCTCAATCATGTACCCCTCCCTCATAGCTGCATCCATGAAAACCGCCTGTTCTCTATGCTCCCTTCAAAGCTGACCAGGCTGGTCCCCTACCCCTGCCTGCACTTTGTTCCCATGAAGGCTCTTTAGGGAACAAAGCAGCCTTTCCTCCCTCCAGACCTGGGGGAGGTGGGTTCAGGGAACACGCTGAGCTCCATCTGCCCTAATCTGCAACTGGGGTGAAGGACCTGCAGTCACAAGGCTGCAACCCCTGGTCTCTCTCTCCGCAGGGACCCCTGTCATCCAACTGACAGCAGTGGATGCAGATGACCCCACCGTGGGAGACCACACCTCTGTCCTGTACCAAATACTGAAAGGAGGCGAAAATTTTCGCATTGATAATAATGGTCTGTATGACTAACCCTCCTGTGGCTTGGGCGGGGGGGGGGAGGAAAATATTCCAGGTGCAGATGCTGGAGGAAGTCCAGTCTGACCGTGCCACCGACCACTGAACAACACTGTCCTGGGGAGGTGGTCAGTATCACATGTTAAGACAAGGTGGCTGGTGAGGTTAGAAGGAAGCAGACAGGTGCCCAAGGCATGGACTCCAGTTCTGGGAACCAAGCAAGGACCCAAGCAGTGGCACAGGAAGCAGGAGTGAAAGCTGGTTAGCAGCTCTGGGTGTGGATTCAGAGAGTTCTGGCTTCCAAACCCAGCTCTTCAACTCACCTCCTCTAAAGGCCTCAGGCAGGTCAACTAACCTCTGTAAGCCTGGGTTCCCTCATCGAAAAATGGGGCTGCTGATACTCATCCTGCATGGTAGCTGTAAAGTACGAATTAGACAACGTATAGCGAGCACAGAGTCCATTGTAATTGTCCACTCAATGAGACTTTAAAAACTGTATCGACTGAGTCTTGGGAGCAAGACAGAAGCCCAGCTGGCCAGGCCCAGGGATACGGCAAGTGCACGGCACTGACAGTGCCACGCACTGTGAAGCGCTGAGGCAGCCATCACCGACCCAGCACGGCGCTCTCTCCACGCTGCGTCTCGCGGTGGCCTTTGGCCTCGTACTCTTTCTCCACACAATGCTCCAGGCAGCTAGGGCTAAGGCCGGACCAACCTGTTTGGGCAGCTTTGGCCTCAAAGGGCAGGGGGTGGAGGCAGGGGGTGGTTGACCAGCATCCCTCAGCCTTCGATGCACCTGGAATGACCTGGGTGCTTTTAAGTCAGGTGCTCTCTGGAGAGGCCTGGACAGCAGCATTTTCTCCAAGCTCCTCGGGTCACCTGGCTCCTGCTGGGACACTTTTTGCAGGAGTCATTTCCACAAAACACAGTAACTTGGACCGAGAGGTGCAGGCCAGATACGAGATTGTGGTGGAAGCACAAGACGCCCAAGGCCTCCAGGGGGAGTCAGGCACGGCCACGGTGCTGGTCACTCTGCAGGACATCAACGACAACTTCCCCATCTTCACTCAGAGTAAGCTCCTCCCCTGGGGCCCCGGGGAGAGCAGGGATTGGGATACACGAGGGACAGAGCCAAGAGACTCCCCTCCTCTTCCCCCACCCCAGGGTGGGCCTAAGGCCCAGGGAAGTCATTTTGGTGAAGGGAGGGACCTGCTCCCCATCCCTGCACACATTCCCAAAACTGTCCTGCTGCTCTCAGACTCAGGACACTGACCCCACCCACAGGCCAATCCTCCCCAAAGATGTCTGACAAGAGCTTTTCACATGCCCTGGGTGGGGCTGGGAGGAAGTCAGAAGGCTCTTTACTTGTACCCCCAATGCTCAAGCACCCCAAGGACAGGCCAGTTTTCCTCAAGTGGCCTCGCTGTGTGTGGCCTAAGGTCCCTGAAAGCAGGACTCATTTCCTTGTCTCTCCTGTAGATGAATAACTCCCCTAGCAAAGTGCCTGGCACATAGCCAGTGCTCGATAATTAGTTGGATGGATGGAGGGAAGGAAGGAAGGACAGACAGGCGAGCAGAATCACTTTGACTTGGGACTCAAAATTCTAGTGGCATTATTATTATTGTCCCATGTCCCTTTCCTATACGAGAATATATTAGGGTAGTGGGAGGGACAATCGCCTTGTCTATGTCATTAATCCTATGCCCTTTGGGGTGTCCTATTTGCATCAGCCAAGTACACATTTACGGTGCCTGAAGACATCCGCGTGGGCAGCTCCCTGGGCTGTCTGTCTGTTGAGGACCCAGATGAGCCCGATAACCGGAAGACCAAGTACAGCATCGTGCAGGGCGAGTACAGAGACACCTTCACCATCGAGACAGACCACACCCGCAACGAGGGTATCATCAAGTCCAAGAAGGTTTGCAGGCCTGGGGCACGGGGACAGATACGGGGTCAGGAGCTCCCAGCATGCCCAGAACTTGCACAGGGGCTGCTACCAGGTCAGAGGTCATCACAGGTGCAGTCTGGGTCAGTGTGGAGCTGGCCGTGTGCTTATGGGAACGGGGACAGGCCGCTAGGAGGGAAAGGTCGATGCCTTAGGCTGGGTTACCCCCGAAACAGACCGTCAGGCAAGGATCTGGGTGTAAACAGTTTATTTGGAAGGCGATCCCAGGAAGCTCCAGGAGCAGTGACACATGAAAGGAGGGAGATGATGTGGGGCTCTTCAGTGAACAGATTTTCACTGTAGACAATGGGGCATGGTCACTGGGGACATCGGGGTGGCAGCTGCCTCGGAGTTGCAGCAGCTGAGGGTGAGCCAGGGTGTGGACAGAGGGCCGCACCTGGGGGCATTCATTCCCTGGCACTTTCCAGCCTGCCCTGGGCACCACCCGCTAGAGCACTGGTAGAGTCACAGGTGCTTGCCGCAGAAAGCCCTCGGCTCACGCGGAAACGGTGAGTGCCGTGGGGATATCGATGGCCGTGGGCAGAGGCTGCTGACAGACAGAGCAGTCAGATGGACTGAACCCGGAAGACGGGGGAGGGTCCGGCCAGGGGCACAAAGAGCCTCCAGAATGACCATGCAGGGGACTAGAGGCCCTCAGTCAGGGATGATCCACCTCAACTGGGACATTCCAGAACCTTCTGCGTGACTCAGACCTCTAGCAGACCTCTCCTGAGTCTGTCTCTGGCCCAGCACTATACTAGGGACTAGAGACACCCAAGGGAATCAGTCAGCCTCCATGGTACCAAAGTTCTCAGCGAGCAGAGAAGACATGCAAAGACAAAAAGGGCAGGAAGTATAAGTACCACATCAGTCCATGCAGGACCAATTTCCCATATTACAAGGGGCCAGAATGGGTTCTGAGAGACCACCGGACTACCTTCGAATTGGCTTCTGGACAGGTGAGAGCAGTAAGCAGGCAAGTGAAGATTCTTGAGCAGAAACATACAAAAACACTCATCCTTAAGGAGCTGTGGCTAAAACCACTAGTCTTTGATCCCCTTGAGAGCAAGACTGGGGCTGATCCCTGTCTGTCCCCAGTACTTGGAACATGGCCAGGCATAGAGCCAGGCTTGACAGTGCGGCCACAAAGCATTTGAGGTGGAATGATGGAACAGAGGCAGCTGAAGACAGCCAGACCCAGCCACTCTCTTGATGACCCTAGAAATTTCTCCAGGCTTCAGGCCCCTCATCTACAAAATGTGCATCATCCCAGAACTGCATTGCAGGATTGCTATAAAGACCACATACCACATGCTTGACTCTGAATAGGGGCTCACCAAACTTTTCCTGCCCACAGCCCCTGGACTATGAACACATCCAGCAATACAGCTTCACCATCGAGGCCACGGACCCCACCATCAACCTCCGCTACGTGGGCAGCATCTCTGGCAAAAACAAGGCCCGTATCACCATCAATGTCACAGATGTGGACGAGCCCCCCGTCTTCCAGCAGCCCTTCTACCACTTCCAGCTGCGGGAGAACCTGAAGAAACCTCTGATCGGCTCAGTGCTGGCCAAGGACCCTGATGCCACGCGGCGGAACATTGGGTAAGAAGGAGGTGATCATGCCAATCTTGACCTTGAGGTTCTTCTCCCTGCTGGACTGAGAGCAGGAGCCAAAGGAGAAACTTGTTTCTCCCAGTACATATGTGGGAAGTGGTAGAGACGGGACTAGTAGCCCAAGCTCTTCCACTGACCCATGTGGCCATGTGGGGTCTTGTCCTGCCTGAACACCCACCTAGCACTGGCCATCTGGGCTGCTCAACCTTGAAGAGCCGCTCTTTAGACTCTGGTTCCCACAGGCCCCATCTAGGGAGATCTGATGGTCAAGAGGACAACCAAATAGATAATGTATGTGAATCCTCTTCACCAGACATGTTTTATTACATTTGTCTTCCCCAAACTGTACGAGGAGTAAGCGTTCATTTCGCAGAGGAACAACACAGAGATGGATAAAGAAACATCAGCAGGCCCCACTCCCAGATAACTCATGTTCACCGAACTCATATTGAACATGGTCCTGTCATTCCTTTTTTCATGACCACACAAACATCAAGATACATTCATGGCAGATTTGTTCTTTGCTTGTCTGGTTTTGGTGTCTGAATGTTTGAAAAAAATTTGGGGGGGATTATACCATGCCCATTTCATCACTATTTGTCCTTCTATCTCAACTAGACTCCTCTCTTCTATCCTCTGAGACAAAAGATATAGTTCTAACTCATACTTCCTAGAGGTACTTAACATTTGATAGTAAATATGAATTTAATCCAATCACATTTCATTCCAAATGAGTAGCCAATTGTGCCAGCACCATTTAAATGACTCATCATTTTCTGACCTTCCTTATACACTAAGCTCCTGTAGGTACCTGAATCTATTTCTGAATCCTCTATTCTATCTATTCTGTGGCAAAATCACTTTGTTTTGTGGTAGCAGCTTTACACTGAAACTTAGTATGTCTATGGCAAGCCCCTCGCTCACTGCTTTTTTGGGTTTCTTTTACTTTACATATTTTTTCAAAAGATTTTATTTATTCATTTTTAGAGAGAGGGGAAGGGAGGGAGAAAGGGAGAGAAACAACAATGCAAGAGAGAAACATCGATTGGTTGCCTCTCACACACCCCCAAACAGGATCAGGGCCTGCAACCCAGGCATGTGCCCCAACCAGGAATCGAGCGGCTGACCTTCTGCTTCACAAGAGGATGCCCAACCCACTGAGCCACACCAGTCAAGGCTACTTTACATAATTTTATGCACTCTAAAACATTCTTTTTTTCATATGAACTTTAAAATTCTTTATCCAGGTTAAAGAAAAAACACTGGAATTCTAATGAGACTCATGTTTATATATCAATTTTGGAGGACTTAATGTTTCTATGGTGTCAGGTCTTCTTACTAAGGACAAAATATTCCCCTCCATTTGGGCCACATCTCATAAGTTCTGGGTCTACTGTTTTTATAGCCATTCTATTTTAAATAGTCTGTAATGACCACTTTTATCACAAGAAATCTTCATCGTTCCAAGGGTTTATTTAAGAGATTTATTTTTTCTTTTCAGTTGCAAGTGGTAGGGTATTTTGTATTTTTGCTCTAACTTGTTTTGTGATATAATCCAAGTGTATTTGTGTTCACTTTTTCCTAGAGTATTTTGTGTATTTTAATGTTGATATTGTTCACAAAGGTTTATAACTATTTTACCTTCATTACAACTTGTACCTTTCATCCTTATGACATACCCAGTTTGTTCAGCTTAAATATCTTGCCTTCAATTCCACGTTGCCTGATGTTAAGTTTGTCAATCCTATGTTCATGTTATTTGTGTTTGCCTGACATGAGTTTTCCATCCTTTACTTTTAACTTTTCTCAGTTATTTGGCATTAAGTTGTCTTTCAAGAATACAATGTAGCTGGCTTTGCTTTTTCATCTAAACTGGAATGCCTTGTGTTTAACCTGTTTACATTTTTCATCATAAATATTTAATTTTACTTCTTTTATCTTGTTTTACATTTTCAATTTCTCAAACGTAATGGTTTTTTTCTTTTCCACAATCTATTTTTTTTCTCCTAAATATTTGGGTATAGTACATTCATTTTTATTTTTGTCAGTGAGATTTACTTCCATCTATAAAATTATGTTTTCTTGGAATTATATTTTCTGGTTAAAAATCTCTCTTTCTCTCTCTCTCTCTCTCTCACACACACACACACACACCCCGTTGCTTTCTGTGTGTAATAATAAATCAATAGTTTCATTTTAATTTCTCTCACACAAAGTCTTTGCTTTATATTGAGACATTTCTCAATTAGATGAAGTTTTCAAAACAATATTTTCCAGGATTCATCTTTGTGGGCGACATACCTCCTCATTTCTTGCATACTTAGAAATACCATAGTTCTTTTGCCTTCTTATGTTCATAACACCTAGATGTACTCATACAATACTCATATTATAGACACTGTGCTCCAAAACTACTATCAATGTGGTTTAGCATTTAATTTTATAGGGATTTTCTAAAGTGAATCTAGTTTCTCTTTATAAGAATGCACTTTCTCCTGTCTGGACTCTTTTCAGTTTCTTTGTATAGCCTTGAAATTCAAAAGTGTCCAGAGTATATATCTAAATGTTGATCTCTTTTTAAAATTATGCTTAATATCAGTGGCCTCTTTTTAAAAATGTGTAGACGCAGGCCTTTCTTCAAATCAGGAAAGTTTTCTCTTATTATACCTTTTGTCATTTCTTCTGTTCCACCTGTTTTGGAATTTTCTTCAGTAGTGGCAAATACATATATTTGGAATATTCCAAATATATATAATTATATATTTTTTGCTCCCTCTTTTCATCTAGTCCTGCCTTCGTTTTTGATTTCTATTAGAATTTTTACTTCACAAACTTAATTGTCTTTCACTCACTTCTTATCCCTCCCAGCTCCTTCTTTATCTCTTCCTGGATCTTTCCCAAGTATCCTCTCACCCATCACAAAAAACAATCCCAGCTGGAGTGTAGTTCAGGACAGTGCCCCTGCCTCAGCCCCGAAAGTGCTACCAAAGGAGTCTCAGGCTGCACCCGCAGTCCAGTGATGCAACACTGCTAAAATCAGAGGGATCGCCTCACTACTCTGAACCCCCCTGGATGGTAGAGTATGATGGGCAGGGGAGGAGGACGGAGGAGAATGCAAGGGACAGATCCTGAAGGGCCTTGTCTGTCGTGCTAGGAATTTGGACTCAGCAAAGAACATTAGAAAGTCATGAATCTCTTTTCCCCTGGGCAGATACTTTATCCGCAGGACCAGTGACAAGGGCCAGTTCTTCCAAGTAAACAAGCAGGGAAACATTTTCAACGACAAGGAACTGGACAGAGAAGTCTACCCCTGGTATAACCTGACTGTGGAGGCCAAAGAGCTGTATCCCAGTGGTAAGTAGCCCCATCTGCCAGGGTACCTTTTCTCCTTTCCCTCATTTATTCAAAATCGTCATAATCTATCATGGCGGGTCTCTGGAGGTATCATAAACTCCTACTGAAGTGCCGCTTGGCTGGGACGCTATAAAGCCTTCATCCCCAAGTGTGGATAGACCAGGAGCATCCATATCCTCTAAGACCTTGTTGTAAGGGCCAAATGCCAGGCCCCAGACTGAATCAGAATCTAACGCACAGTATGGTTTAAGAAGCACTGCCAACAAACAGGATGCCGATGTCCCTGTAATGAGAATCACTTAGGGCCCCTCTTAACACAGAGCTTCTCACACCACTACCTGGAGGTTCAGATCCAGTGAGCCAGAAAAGAGGCGAAGGAATATGCATTGAATAAGGGCCAAACGATTCTCCTTATCGTGGATTTTGGATTACCCTGCTTTGGGGGCTCTTTATGTTCCAGTTAGTTTACAATATTTGTATAAATTCACATCCCGCATTTTTACTTAAATTTCTCCCAGAACCATTTTCTCAGGGTGCTAAAATGTCTTCTTCTTAATTACATTTTAAAATGTAATTTACATGGGCATTCTAAATAGCCACATAGTCCATTCTTTTAAAGTCCATTCTTTATTAACCCAATCTCACTTAGGTTGTTTACCTTATAAATCATTTCATAATTAATTAATTTAATAAATTACACATGTTCAAATTAATTCAATTACTTAATCAAATCATTAGATTAGTTTAATGATTACTTAATTCAATTAATTTAATTAAAGCCATTTTAAATTCACTTAAGTTACTTTTATACTCTTACAAATAACTGAAGCATCCTTGTACATGAAGCTTAGGCCCTACCTCTTCCACTCCTTTCATCCAGAACCCCACCCCTAGCCTCTCTCCCAGGGGTCCGCAGTCCCCTCTTCCTGTTGGAAGGGCACCCCTCCAGGAATCCCATTCACACACCGTCTGAGCCAACTATGATGACAAGTCCTTTCCCCCTTCAGGGACCCCCACAGGCAAAGAATCCATTGTACAGGTCCACATCGAAGTTCTGGATGAGAACGACAACGCCCCCGAGTTTGCCGAGGACTACGATGCCAAAGTGTGCGAGAACGCTCCACGGGGCAAGGTGAGTCTGGCTCAGGTGGGAGGGCAACCGTCCAGGACAGGCTTCGGGGCAGCACCTCCCACCCAGTCGGCTGCTTAATGTAACCTGCACAACAGCCTTGGGGAAAGACATCATTATCCCCACTTTACAGATGGAGAAACTGAGGCTCAGAGAAACTACACGGAGGGGAGGGGGCTGGTACAAAGAATATATCTGTGGCAATGATTTAGGTTAGTGTTCCAAGTGAGAGGCAGCCATGGTCAAGTCTAAACCCAAAGTCTCCATCACTGAACCCCAGGCCACCTCGGCATCATCATTGACCATCCCCCATTTTCCACACTCCAGCTGGTGGTGCAAATCTCAGCAACAGACAAGGACATAACGCCAAGGGACGTGAAGTTCAAATTTTCCCTGAGCACCGAAGACACCAACTTCACCCTCACAGATAATCACAGTATGTACGCACGAAAGCAGTTAGCCTGGTTCTTGGCAGCGGGGGTGGGGGGGGGAGGTTGGGGGCGGTCAGTCATGATATGCCAGGGACAAGAACCAAGCCAACAAACTGGCGGCAGGCCCTCACTGGGGTTTTCATGTTATGGCACATCTTGCACAACTTCTGCCACATACCTTTTTGGTCTGTACAATGGTCAGAGGTGCCCTGACCAAGTCCACATGGCTTGCCATTCCCCGTAAGATGCTAGGTGCACAGAATAGATATAGGGTGCAAACAGTCAGCTCTGTTCATGAACTAGCCAAGGGATTCCTTCTCACACAGAATCTCAGTTCAGCACAATTACAGATTACTCTGTCATGGAACTTTGAGGTCACTCCCAAGGAGTCACAACCAGAAATGTGAAATCCAAAATGCCAAGGATACAGAAAACTTTGTCTTAATTCAATTACAATAATTACTTACCACCAGGGGAGCCTGGGACAGAATCTGGTCCACCAATCACAGCCCAGAGAGCCCTGTGATGTCAGTAGTAGCCAATCAGAGCTTCCAACAAGTATGTGCTTAGGAGAGGGATCCTGCTGAGTTGATTGAATTCCAGCCAACAGTAGGCAGGTCTGGTCTCCCTAGGCTTCGGCAGCTTCCTTAAAAAAAAATAGGAGGGAAAAATTTCCCTTAAATCTAAATAGAGCAATCCTTCACCTAGCACAGGGTGGAATCCCTGCCTGTCCCTGACAGACAAAACTGTGGTTGATGAGGACCCCTTTATGGAAACAGCCCTTGCAACCATTAAGGAAGGTCAGGAAGTGGGGTTCCTGAGAGTAGGGGCAGACCCAGAGGATTAGCCGCAGCCTCCTGTGGGGCGGGGAAGGGAGCCAGGACGGGTTGACAATCAATGACAGACCATTCCATGTTCAGCTGTCTTTATTAGTAAGTAATATAGCAAAACTACTTACCACCCCATCACCAAGGTCCGCCTCAATCCCACTTCACAGGGGGTGTGCAGTGGGGCAGGCAGCTTAAGCGATACTCCAAAGACACCCATGTGTGACCAGGAGGCAAGCTTGTTGGTCTTGGATTCACTGAGAGCGTGAATGTCCCACTATAGCCTTAAATGACTCTAGTAAAAAAATCTCTTATTTCTCCCATAAAGTGCCAATGCCTATATCATTTACTCTCAATTATAATAGGCAGGGCTACTTAATTATGAAATGTACCTGGCTTTCATTTGAAATAAAAAAGATGGCCTCCTTTGCTTTCAGCTGGCTTTCTGAGCAGGCCAACCCGACACAGCTGGTCAAATTCCCCCTCCAAATCCTGGAGCAGGGATCCCCCAGGCCCACCCCTTACCATCAGCATAGTGACCTCTCAGGGAACCTACAAAAGGCAGATTATCTGACCTCTGCCAGAAGCCACTGATTCAGAAATGTGGAAGGGAGGGGATAGGGAAGAAAAGCAAGAAGGTGGTGGAGGCGGGGAGGGGGGGGATTGTGAAAATCAGCAGGTTTAGAAAGCTCCCTGGGGAATTCTGTACATGAAGCCATTGACCGGAGCTAGGAGAGGAGAGCCAATATTTGGGCCAGAGCCCAGTCCCAATTCCAGGCCGCCTCAGATATTCTCAGTTCTGTATGTAATCTTTTCTTCATTGCCCCCAGGAACATAAGCATTGTTTTTACTTTCTAACCAATTTGCATGCATAACAGCAAGAGCCTCAGAAGTTAGCCTGATGCTAAAAGGCTTTTTAAAATTTCATTTTCCCCCTGATTACTTCTGAAAGACTGAAATAGTACATTCATTAATTAAGTTGAAAGAGAGTCACCTATTATTAGAGTAAAGTTAGGGAAGGAGGGGTCAGGTTTATCAGTTGTCCACAGAAATAGAAAGCAAGGATTTTACATTCTGGCCAAGCCATTCTTAGTAGCTAAGTCCAAGTTGCTGCCCAAAGTTTTGGCTCTCTGGGGGAACAGACTTGTGCTCAATTGGCTGAAACAAAAGGCAAGGGATGAAAAGGACACAGAAGCACCCCAGGTGGCACATGGGCTGGCACAATCAGGGAGGACTCCCTGGAGGAGGCAGGCCACACTGTCAGTGTGGACAAGGGGACGGGCGCTCCAAGCAGCACAACCTGACTCTGAGGCCTGGTGCTTCCAGATAACACGGCCAACATCAGAGTCAAGTATGGGCAGTTTGACCGGGAGCACACCAAGGTCCACGACCTGCCCGTGCTCATCTCGGACAACGGGAGGCCGAGCCTCACGAGCACTAACACGCTGCGCGTGGTGGTGTGCAAGTGCAACGACCGTGGCGAGTTCACCTTCTGTGAGGAGGCAGCTGCCCAGCTGGGCATCAGCATCCAGGCGCTGGTAGCCATCTTCCTCTGCATTCTCACCATCACAGGTTAGTGCCGGGAGGGTGGGGAGGGGACACCGAGGGGGCTGCTCCAGAGGAGGAAGAGGTGAGGGTTCCAGGCCCAGCCCTGCCCCCAGCGCACAGTGCAGCCCTGGGCCGGTACCCCACCCTGAGCTGCTGTGGGAAATGGGACTGCCAGCTCCACCTCCCTAGGCACATCCCCTAGGATGGGGATGGACAAGCGGGGAGCGAGGGAAGTAGTTTGAATACTCGTTGTGTACCAGGCACTGTTCTAGGAATTTATTTACATAAAATCTATTTTAAAAACAGGGGCTCCCATTCATCTTTTGGAAAGAAATGCAAAATTTAAAAAACTTCTAATTTAGATGACCTCTGGGAGCTTTCTTTTTTTTTCCTTTCATAGGCTTCCTTCTGCCTTGACATCTTTTTTCTTGTTTGGGCCTCCGAAGGCATTTTGGACAAGGATTGGGGTGCAAGTGTTTTATTCAGGAGGTACTCCCAGGAAGCCCAGAAGGAAGAGGGGTCGTGAGATGGGGAACAGAGGCAGAGGATAAAGGGCATTTCCACACAAGTTGCCACCGTGGGTCACTGGACCCTCCTCCCCTTGGGGCCTGGGAGGCAGTGTGGCACTCACCGCCCCTGTTTATCCACCGACTCCCACCAGTTGGTCGCGGGGGCTCCTCCCAGAGGCGCAAATTCTCCTGCATGTCACCTGCCATGGGTGGGGCAGGGGCTGGTCCTCCTGAGGACACCCTCAGGTAGCCGGAGGCCACCCTCTGCCCTACAGTGATGGGACCCACGCGATCTACCCCAGGCCTTTCCTGCCGGGAGCCCCCTGAGAGGGCCCCTGCGTGTGCTCCTCTTCTGGAGGGCTTCCGTGGCGGAGGGTCCACACCCAGATTCCCCTCTGAGTAATGATGAATAATAATGACAGTAGCATGGCCACCACGTGTAGAATTGTACTAACCTTATAACCACCTTACCAGATATAAACAGAGCAGAGAAGTCATCATTTCCACTTTATAGACAGGGAAGCTGAGGTTCAGAGAGGGTGTCCCAACTTTATCTATGAACGTAATAGTGTGTTAAGAAACTCAAGAGGCTAGAAGGATAAAGTCTGGGGATGATCCGAGCCTCATTTTAGGAGCCAGTACCACACGGTCCACCCCTGCTCAGGGGTTAGAGACTCTCACACACCCACACCCCTCGGAGCCTTGCACAGGGCCAGCACCTTCACCTCTGCCTGACCGTGAGTCTCAGCAGGTCACTCGGCCTCCCTGAGCTCAGTTTGCTTAACTCTGAAGTGAAATACGAATACCTACCTTGAGTGGGATAACGTGAAAATGTGCCAATATCATGCCAGCATGTATATAGTAGGTGCTCAAGAGTGACCGCTGCTGCTGGGATGAGCGCCCTGACTGCCAGCTCCCCTGTTATCCATGAGGGAGCCATGGCTCTGAATCTCTGCGCTCCAATCCCAGCTCCAACCCTCTCCCCATTTCTGCCCTGCCCGCTGGCCCGCTGCTGGCCTTCAGAAGTGACAAAGGGTTTTCCACAGCAGTATGAGAAGGGAGGGGAGGAGGATGCAGGCCGATGAGGCTGGGGCTGAAGGAGGGAATGAACGTGAGGGAGGCCAGCTCTGTACCCTTCTTCCTCCCATCCTTACCAGTGGCTGTGAGCGCCAGTCAGGACCACACGGGCATAGGGTGAGGCAGAGACTCCCACACAGGGAGGTGGACCCACCAGGGACCTGGACCAAAGCAAACCAGTGTGGGGCTGGGGTCTCACTGGCCAGTCGGAGGAATTCCCAGGGAAGGGAGGAGGGCGCAGGAGGGTGAGGGCCCCCACCACGGGCGGCGGAGCCGCGTTTGACTCCCTCTAACCGCTCGCTCGCTGCTCGCAGTGATCACCCTCCTCATCTTCCTGCGGCGGCGGCTCCGAAAGCAAGCCCGTGCCCAAGGCAAAAGCGCGCTGGAGATTCATGAGCAGCTGGTCACCTACGACGAGGAGGGCGGTGGCGAGATGGACACCACCAGCTACGACGTGTCGGTGCTCAATTCTGCGCGCCACGGTGGAGCCAAGCCCCCGCGACCCAGGCGGGACGTGCCGCCAGCAGTGTACGCGCAGGTGCAGAAGCCGCTGCGGCACGCGCCCCTCACCAAGCCCGGAGAGCCCGGGGACATGGCCACTGTGATCGAGGTGAAGAAGGACCAGGCGGACCAAGACAGCAGCGGCCTGCCTTACGACACGCTGCACCTGTTCGACTACGAGGGCTCCGAGTCCATCGCGGAGTCCCTTAGCTCCCTGGGCACCCACTCCTCTGACTCGGATGTCGATTATGACTTCCTCAACGACTGGGGGCCCAGGTTCAAGATGTTGGCTGAACTGTACAGCACGGACTCCCGGGAGGAGCTGGGGTATTAGGGGCTGCGAGCCTCTGGGCCTGGGGACCCAAACCACTGCAGCCCCAGCCGTTGGACACCAGCCCCTGAGCCCCCGAATTACAGCACCGACACCTAGCCCAGCAGCCCTTCCCTGTGGGTCCCAGGGACCTCATCACCTTGGCTCACAGACTGCAGGCCCCTGAAATGTCCAGGAACGTATTTCGGGGATGGCTACCCCCAAAATGCTGGAAAACCCAAGCTAGGGTTCTGCTTGGCTTGGGAGTCCGCATAACCCACCACCAGGGCCACAGGCCCGACTCAGCGACTTTTTCTCTGGCTCCTCAAAGAGCTTATGTTCAATTACCAGGGAGAGGTCTTCCCCTGAGGGCCCTAAACCCTTTGGTGATAGTGGTGCAGCCCTGGTGCCCGTCTGTGGGGAGCAGAGGGCATGGGAACATGACCTGCAGTGGCACTCTCTGCAGCCCAGCCCAAAGGGTGCCTGCCCTGCTTCACCTTCCTAACACCCTCCCAAGGCTCCTACCACTCCTAGGCCCCTCCCCAGGCCCGTCACGAGGGAGGAAGGGGCCTTGGCAGCTCCCAACCTTGGGTCCTCAGTGACCTCACTTGTCCATCACACCTGCAACTGCACTGCACTGAGCGTTGAAAATTCAACCGAAGTCAGGGAAACGGCTGGCTGAACCTTTTAGCAACTGTGAATTCATCTTGGAGGGACAGTGGAGACCACATATGACAGACCATAGGGTGAGGGCCCCCTCCATACCCACACTCCCTGGAGAGGGCCTAGCGCAGTGGCAACCCCAGTGTGAGACTCCCTGACACTCCTCTAGTTTTGCCTGGGAAGTGAGAAGAGATGCTCCCGAGCGCAACAGCTTTTCCCATCTCTGCCTCGCCTGGCCATGCATTCACACTCGCTCTTTTCTCTCTCCTCTTTATCTCTTGACTGAGAGGCACTCAAGATATGACCCACAGCAACGAGCAACTCTGGCCAATGTCCAAACCCAAACATTGCTGCAAAATGGAGCCACGCGATTTGCCTTTACACCTCGTTGTTGCCACATCTCAGGGAACCCCAGCAGGACCCCATCCCTCAGGCACACCCTGCAAAAGGCACGGCCTCTGCCCTGCCCAAGCCCTGTAGTCCTATGTGCATCTCCCACTTCCAGCCACACATGGCACCTCCTAGAACAAAGAGCTGGGAGAAGGGGCATCACTCAGAGGCAGTGGCAGGAAAGGAGGCAAATCCTCCAGCTCACTCTTGGTCATGACTAAGGTTTCCACTCCGGCAAGGCCCCTCCCTTGTCAGGGGTTGTAGATAACACTGACTTTATTTTTAACCAATAACTAGTTTCTTGTAATTTTTTTTACTAATAGTACTTAGACATTTCTAGCTCTCACAAACATATAAGGTGGGGTTTATTTGTTTGTTTGTTTTGCATAATAAGGTTGCTATTTAGGTTAACAATTTTAATTCAGTTGTTTTAGTTGAATAAACAAATTCCTGTAACCTTCTATTTCCTATCATTGTCATGATTGTTCTAGGGATAATGACTATATATTGACCACACTGGTGCATGAGACGTACTGTATTTTTTATATATATATATATACTTAAATAAAGATCTTGAAATTCTTCCATTTCTAGAGCTAAGAGAGTGTATGTGAAACACACACACACACCCCCACCCCCACCACGATCATCAAAGGAACCCCAAGGAGCAAGGGGACATTTGCCAATAGGATTTCAGAAACACCACAGAAAAGGGATTGCAGCAGATGACAAGGGACACCTAGTCCAGCCCCCTCTCCTCTCAGAACCTCATACCATCGCCCAGTCTCTGTACACGCGCCCCACCCCCAACCCACCTTGCACATCAGGCAAGGACTTCCAGAAGCTGAAGCTGCAATATCATTTCCTTTTGGCAAATGAAGAACCAGGGAGGTGAGATACCTCAGCAATGAGGGAGGAAATCAATTTCTGACTAGTTGGCTGACAACAGTCAGCTGCTGGCTCACTATTGGGATGTGTGGACCCCAATGCTGGGATCCTGCCGGGGAAATCTCATAATCAAAACAAGGAGCGGATGCCTTCATGTCAGACTCAGGTCTTGAACTAGGGTCTGGGGGATAAAGCCCACTTGCGCGTGGCCCCTGCTCCGTGACCCCTGCCAGCAGGGTTTTCAGAGCAGCGTGTCCCCCAGGAATGGTATTTTGCAAACTGTGCTCTACACAAACACTACCTTTTGAAGCTCTCAGGGATCGATCGATCTCAATTCCAATTTTTGCTCGAAGTTCTTTTGTGATTTCTCTCTTTCTTTTGATACACTGGTCATTTAGGAATGTATTGTTTAATTTCCACATATTTGTGAATTTTCCAAATTTCATTCTGTTACTGATTTCTAATTGATTCATAGCTTTTTATCATTTCAATCCTTGTAAACTAATTGAGACTTGTTTTATGCCATAATGTATGTTTGCCATAACATATCCTGGAAAACGTTCCATGTCTGAGAGGAATGTGTATACTATGTTGTTGGATGAAGTGTTGTATAGATGGCTATTAGGGCACTTGGTTTAGTGTTGTTCAGGTCTTGTATTTCCTTGATTTCTGCTTAGTCTATCTTTTATTGAAAGTGGGGAGCTGAAATCAACTGTTATTCTTGAATTGTCTGTTTTCCCTTCATTTCTATCAGGTTTTGCTTTGCATATTTTTGGTCTCTGTTGTTAGGAACCTGTATGTTTACAATGATTGTATCTTCTTGACAGATTGACCCTTTCGGCATTATAAAAGGTACCTCTTGCACCTAGGAACAATTTTTATCTTAAAATCTATTTTGTCTGATAGTAGAATGGTCATCCCAGCTCTCTTTTGGTTACTGTTTACATGGTATATCTTCTTCTATCTTTTACCTATGTGTGTCTTTTAATAGTGTGTCTTTTAATTCTGTATACAAAATATAGTTGGATCATGGCAATTTATCCATCCTACCAATCTCTGGGTTTTGGGTTTTTTTTTAAGATTTTATTTATGTTTTAGAGAGAAGGGTAGGGAGATAGAAAGAGAGAAAGAGAAATGTAGATGTATGAGTGAAACATTGCTACCTTAGCCAGGATCTGGCCTACAACCCCGGCACAGGCCCTGGCTGTAAAGAGAACCACTGACCGGCCTCTTGGTTCACAGGCAGGCAGGCGCTCAACCCACTGAGCCACACCAGCCAGGGCACCAATCGCTGCTTTTTGATTGGTGTGTTTAATCCTTTTCTATGTAATGTAATTACCAAAAAGGTAGGATTTATGCCTGCCACTTTACTATTTGTTTTCTATATCTTATGTTTTTTTCCCCTCTATTACCCCAATCCTGCCTTCTTTTATATTAAATAGATATTTTCTAGCACATCATTTTAATTCTTGTCAATCTTTTACTCTATTTTTTGACTTATTTTCTTAGTGGTCCCCCCTAGGACTATAAAATTTGTACCAACTTAATACAAAACTTTGCTCCTAGCCTGATCAGTGTGGCTCAGTTCATTGGGCATCATCCCACAAAGCAAAAGGTCACTGGTTTGTTTCCCGGTCAGGGCACATGCCTGGGCTGCAGATTCAGTGCCCAATCAGGGCACATACAGGAAGTAATTGATCAATGTTCCTCTCTTGCATCAATGTTTCTCTCCCTCCTTTACCCTCTCCCTAAAATAAACAAATTTTTTTTTTAAAACTTTGCTCCTATGCAGCTCTACTACCACCGTTCCTTTGAACTACTATTGTCATATACATATATTACTTTTTAGTATACATTGTATGCCCATCAATATAGATTTATAATTGTTGCTTTAGGCAGTTGTCTTTTAAATCATATAGTAGAGAAAAGTTACAAACAAAAAAATATACTTAAACTGTCTTTTATATCTACCTGTACAATTGCTGTTAACTACTGATCTTTATGTGGATTGAAGCTATTGTCTAGTGTATTTTCATTTCAGCTTGAACAACTCCCTTTAGTATTTTTTAGTATTTTTAGTATTTTCTTACCATTGTTTTAATCTGTAAATGCCTTTATTTCTCTATTTTGGAAGGTTAGTTTTGTCAGATATAAACTTCTTGGTTTATGGGCTTTTTCTCCCAGCACTCTAAGGTCAATGCACTGTCTTCTAGCCTCCCTGGCTTCTGATGAGAAATAGCTGTTAATCCTATTGAGGAAACTTTGTATATGATAAGTTGTTTCTCTCTTGCTGCTTTCAACATTCCCTTTGTCTTTGTAGTTTCATCACGATATGCCTATGATAAATTCTAAGATAAATTTTATTTTACTTTGAGTTCACTGAACTTCTTGGATGTATAGAGTTATATTTTTATCAAACTTGAAAAGTTTGGGGTCATTATTTCTTCGAACAGTCTTTCTGCCTCTTTCTCTTCTCTCCTGGGGGACTCAAATGATATATATATACATATATATATATATATATATATATATATATATATATATATATATATATTAGAAAGCTTGCTGGACTTCCAATCAAGATGGAGACATAGGTAAACACAACTTGAGTCCTTGCAAAACCACAGCAAAAATTACAACTAGGCTACAAAACAAGTATCTCCCAGAATTGTCAGAAAGCTGAGCTGTATGGAAGCCCAACAACCAAGGAGTTAAAGAAGCCCCATTCACCCGGTGGGTAGGAGAGGCAGAGACACAGAGAGGCATGGAGAGGCTCAGAGATGGGAATGGGAGGGAGATCCCACACCCATGTGTGGTGGTTAAAAATCAGGAGCGATACCTCAGGAGCGAGGGATCCTGGCCCAACACCAGACCACCCAGCCCAGAGTTCCATCCAACCCCAGGAAGGTAAGTGCCCACAAATTCTGGCTGTAAAAACGAGTGGGGGTTGGGACAGCAGAAGAAACTGCAGAATTCTCAGGAGTCACCTCTTAAAGCATCCACAACAGACTTAATACTTACACAGACTCACTGTCTCTGGGCTTCAGCACCAGGGCAACACCTGGAAAAGCACCAGTGGCATACGGGGAAAAATTGAAGTGGCTGACATCAGGGTGAGTGTGGGGAGACAGCTTCCTCCCAGACAAAACTCCAGAGGCCAGGCAACAGCATTATCTCCTCTCTGAGTCCCCCACACAGAGCAACAGAGCTGTGACGCAGGCTGCGCTGCCCCGGTGATTCCCTAAGGCTCTGCCCCATCCAGCTGACCAGTGTGCTTGTCTACAACAGACCACGTTACTAAGAAAGGGAGTTAAAGCAGCTCTACCTGATACACAAAAACAAACACACAGAGGCTGCCAAAATGAGGAGACAAAGAAATGTGTCCCAAATGAAAGAACAGAACAAAACTCTAGAAAAAGAACAAAGTGAAATAGAGATAACCAATCTATCAGATACAGAGTTCAAAACACCAGTTATTAGGATGCTCAAGGAACTCACTGGGTACTTCAACAGCATAAAAACGACCCAGGCAGAAATTAAGGTTACACTAAGTGAAATAAAGAAAAATCTATAGGGAACCTAGGAACCTAAAATCAAAGTGGAGGGGATGAAGCTGAGAATCAAATCAATGATTTGGAACATAAGGAAGAAAAAAACATTCAATCAAAACAGGAAGAAGAAATTCCCGGGTTCCAGCCTACTTTGTGGAGAAATGGCTAAACGCACCAAGAAAGTCAGAATTGTTGGTAAATACAGCACCCACCATGGCACCTCCTCCAGGAAGAAAACTGAGATCAGCCAACACACCAAGTGCACTTACTCCTTCTGTGGCAAAACCAAGATGAAGCGGCGAGCTGTGGGGACCTGACACTGTATTTCCTGCATGAAAACAGTCACTAGTGGTGCCTGGACCTACCACACCACTTCTGTTGTCACAGTAAGGTCTGCCATCAGAAGATTGAAGGAGTCAAAAGACCAGTAGAAGCCCCAGAATTTGAAACATTGCTAGCCTATTATGAATGGGTTAATTTATGTTAAAAAAAAAAAGAAGCAGCAGCAGCAAGGAAAAAAAGAATCCAAAAAACAGGAGGATAGGCTAAAGAGCCTCTGGAACATCTTCAAATGTACCAATATCCAAATCACAGGGGTGCCAGAAGAAGAGGACATGCAAGAAATGGAAAACTTATTTGAAAAAATAACGAAAGAAAACTTCTCTAATTTGGTGAAAGAAGTAGACATACAAATCCAGGAAGCACAGAGAGTCCCAAACAAGTTGGACCCAAAGAGGACCACACTAAAACACATCATAATTAAAATGCCAAAGGTTAAAGATAGAGAATCGTAAGAGCACCAAGAGAAAAGCAGATAGTCACTTACAAAGAAGTTCCCATAAGACTGTCAGCTGATTTCTCAAAAGAAACTTTGCAGGCAAGAAGGGACTGGCAAGAAGTATGCAAAGTGGTGAAAAACAAGGACCTACTAGCTAGATTACTCTATCCAGCAAAGCTATCATTTAGGATTGAAGGGTAGATAAAGTGCTTCCCAGTACTTTATCTAAATCTAAAGGGGTAAATCTAAAGGAGTTCATCATCACCAAGCCAGTATTATATGAAATGTTAAAGGGACTTATTTAAGAAAA